TTTCCCATTGAATTTGTCCAAATAGCTTGGGTGAATAATTTTTTTTTCTTATTTTTTGCAACTACCGCGCACACACAATGCTTGACGAAAAATTGCATACTATTTACGACTAAAAAATACAATTTTTAAGTTCTTTTTTTTTTGTTTTGTATTATTGTGTTTTTCTGTCACCAGACTTTGCCTATGCATGTCCAAGAGCCTGTCCGTCAATGAAAAAAATTCAACACAAAAATACAAAAAGAGTTTTGTGTCGGCAGCATTTGTCAGAAATGTCGTACAATTGTCAGGCAGACGACACAAGCTGGTAGGCATCTTGTGGGGCATTGACAGAACTCAAAGAAATGAGACTTTGTTAGCTTATTTTCTGAAAAAGCAAAATGGCTTCAGTCTAGCTTTAAGTTTATGCAACACCAGCTGAAGCCAAAAACCAACAAATTCACCCTCATTTGCATAAAGGAAAGGTAAACAAATGTAACGAGTGACAGACAAACGAGCCTACACCTGACCAACTCTTGAGCGACTGCCAGCGACACGCCTGCCCCTCCATGTACATACATATACAAAATATACGTATATATTTATATATTTTGTACATATGTAAATATATGGGTAGGACTTTGCGACCGACCGACTGGGTGAATGACTGGTCAACTGGCCGGCCATTCAATGGCCAAAAAGTTTTTTTTCGCCAACATTTGGCTGCTGCGTATTCCCTCTTTAGTGACTTTTTTTTGCTAAACGTTTTCGAATTGACATTTTGACATTTTGGCATAGCAAATTTCGCTTAAACCCAGCAGCGCCAGGGGCGAGCAGCGTCAGTAGCATTTGGCCAGGAAGCTGCATTGGTGACAGCTGAACAAGCACGTTGATGGGGCGACAGATGCGAGCTGAAAGGGAACTGGGATCCAAAAACCGAACCGATATTATTTGCATACGCCAGTGGGTCAGTTTCATGATTGTAATATGATTTATCAAAATGATGAAGACCAAAGCCCTTGGGCCATACATTCATACGAAATTCAAAATGGAAAATATGGGAAAAATCATATGTACTCATTGTCTATTTTTGAACACAACATTTAATTTTTTTAATGACGAAATATAAGAACTTAAATTGAATAGAATGAATCTGATGTAATACAAAGGTAAAGGAGCTAATACATATATATATAATATATACTAATAGTACTTACTAATAGACCTTACTAATAGTACTCTTTTAAACTTTGTTCTTTTTAATTGACATTTTATCAATGTTTCCTAGTATAATACTTTGTATCAAAATTAGGACATTAACTTAAGTGTTGAACTTTCGGTTTGGCCAAAAACAGGCTTCATTAGTCATGTGAGAAATGGAGACAACTGTACGTGATTCGATTGGTGGCATTGCCCAAATTAGCATTTTAAACACCTCTTACTTTTGGCCTGATGATGTGGCGCGCATGGAAAGCGAAACCAAGAAATCAACTAAGGCCAAAAGCGAAACTTGCCTCCGATTCTTGCCACTCCGGCATTCGTCCTGCCATCTGCCACACGACGCGTGTGCTGCCGTTTATGGCCAGGCGAGTTCGCAACATTTTGGCTATCAGCAGACAACCAAATCGAAATCAAAGTCGTGTGTCCGAGTCGGAGTGGCGGTTCGGAGGATTGTGGCTTCCTCACTTTATATGGCCAGGCCGAAACTTTCAATTAACACAAGTCGCATCCTCAACAACTCGGCTCCTTAGCTGCCTAGCTTCCCAGCTCCCAGCTCGGGGCCAAGCGTTTTTCACGCTTCATGACCAAGTTTGGACAAGTGGCCAGGCCAACAAACCAAAGACCAGGCCACATTAATTGCCGGACGGGTCGAACGGTACAGGATCTGTGCGGTCGGCGGCATTAACACCAAATTAATCAAAACAAGCGTTTGACAGCTGAGTGATTTGTGCCCGGTCCGTCCGGGGCTGTGAATTAAGCTTTGGCGCCACGGCCTCGCCGGCTTGCATTTTTCTAATTATGCTGCTGCTTTTGCCGCCTGGCTTTTGGGCCCACTCCCACTTGTCGGTAACTCGTTTATGGCCAACCAGTTGGCAACTGGCAAGTGGAAATCGAAATCTCGTTAAAGACCAACTAAAATCGGGTTCGAAGTTTGTCGGCTATTTGGCTTTGATCTGTTGCGACTTTGGAAGTCTTTTATAAACGCGTGCTGCCGGCAAAAGAGCCACATTTTGCTAACAGTTTAGTAGTCGGATCTGCATTTGTGGTTTTTATTTATTTTTTTTATTTTTTATACCACAAAAAACAATATTTGTAATATATTGCATCTATTAAAACCCCTGGTTTAAAGACAACACTGGTTTATCTAAAAAGTAGTAACCTCCGCTACAAATTTGTTTAAAAGTAAGTAATGCAGGAATATAAAGTCTCATTGTTTAGAATATAAATATCCATCAATTAATATTTATTTTTTATAAATAATGTAATATTAATTGATAAAATATAAAATTATTCTCTGTGTATTTTTCTGCTAGCCACATTAGTGGCCGGCACGCCTATAAATCTTCAACGCCAAATTGAAACCGCCGATTGAGTAAATGAGCAAGCGACTGAGTGATTGAATAGGCGACGAACTGAGTAAATGAGTAACTGAGTGATTGAGTGACTGACAGCGGGGAGTGATGCATGTGATTAAAAAAGCGCTGCCATAATTTGGCTTTAATTGGCTTGACGCGTCGCGTGCTGCCTGGAATCGCTGAAATCGCTGGAATCGAGCGGAACTTGGTGGGTGTTGTGCGGCACATATTAAGCAAACATGAGCATAATGGCAATTTGCACAAACATACACACACACGGACGAACCCATACACAGCCATGAACAAGTACATGTATACAGAGGCCCAATTAACATGACATGTCGTATGCGATGGCCTGATTGGGACCGAGAATTAAATTCGCGAAGGAAGCTTGGGGGGGTAGCAAGCTTGGTGGGGTTGGAGTCCCGGGGAGACAATCTCACTGTTGCGGAATACACGGCGATTGCATTAACCACAAAACTTGGCACGATGCTGCAGGTGAAAAGACGAAAATTTATCCCGGATTAAAGCAGGTTGATATGTACCCTAAATTAATAGGCTGATTAAAAATTTATAAAGTATATTTGTAACAAATTTCGAATTTTAAGACAAATGTATGTATGTGATTAAAAAAGGACTGACTAATTTCCGGCTTCAATTGGCAAAAAATTGACAAAAATCATAGTCAGTTAACTATTTGTAGCTAAAAATCTTACCCTAAATCAGCTCAAGAGTCTTAATATTTTTTTTATTCAACATCCTTGTGGCTTGTTTTAAATTTTCTGTGCGTGACAACTGGGTGGAGCTGAAGGTGCAGCTAAAGGTAACGCTATAACTTAGTGACTGCTTTAATTTTAATTATTGCGATTTGGTGTGGCTCTCCGCCTCCTCTTGAAACCCCACCAATCGCGATTCCTCTGCCTTGCCAGGCAGCCTGACTAATTTGCCGACAACATGACACCGGTCTGAGTGGCTCTGAACCGCATGATTAAGTCGAAACACTCAGCCTGGGGTTGATGTTGCGCTGGTGTTGCTCTTGCTGCTCATGTTGCTGTTGAAGTTGCCAGTGTTACTATTGGTGTTGCACATGGTCGTCGTTTTGGTTTTTGGCATGCGCTTGCGTTAATTAAGCTGCAGTCGAGCTCCAAACGCAGCTGCGTGTCGCTCGGTCGTCTGGTAATCTCCGCGGATTAAGCCGACACTTCGCTCCAAGAGTCATGTTGCTCTTTGCAGGCTTGTTAACAATATTTCGACTTGTCCGGGTTGACGAGCGGGCATCATACACGCGGCCTGCGGTCAAGAGTCGGCCAGAAGTCATATGGGAGCAATTTAAGGCCTCCACACATGGCACACCAATATAATATAAGGATTTTGGTACTTATTTTTTAATAGCAATTAATACAATAATGCTATTGATTAAACGTAAAAGGATTATCTAAATTTTAAATTACTTAAAAGCTTTGAAAACAAGTAAGCTTTGATTAAAAGCAGTCGGTTTTTGATCAACCGTAGGAAATATGAGAAGAGGGTAGTTTATATGAATAGACTTATTTCTCTTTTTTCCGATCATTATGGGAATTACATTCAACGACTCCCAGCAGAAGCCATATCTTAGCCAATTTTCATCGGATGTTTAATCGGAATACCTTAAACGATTTGTGATTCAATTCTCTAATAAACTGCATCAAAGTCTAAGAACAAAATATTTTAAAAATTTTTTTGGTAATTTTCTGGGGGGTCCCCTTCAAAATTATGAAAAATGCTTGGAAGGACAATACGACTCCCAGCGGAGGCCATATCTTTGCCAATTTTCATCGGATTCTTGATCGGAATGCCTTAAACGATTTGTGATTCAATTCTCTAATAAACTGCATCAAAATCTATGAATAAAATATTTTTCAGATTTTTTTCAAATTTTCCCTTCAAGTCCCCTTCAAAATTATGAAAAATGCTTGGAAGGACAATACGACTCCCAGCGGAGGCCATATCTTTGCCAATTTTCATCGGATTCTTAATCGGAATACCTTAAACGATTTGTGATTCAATTCTCTAATAAACTGCATCAAAATCTAAGAATAAAATATTTTTCAGATTTTTTTCAAATTTTCTGGGGTTTCCTTCAAAATTATGAAAAATGCTTGAAAGGACAATACCACTCCCAGCGGAGGCCATATCTTGGCCAATTTTCATCGGATTCTTCATCGGAATGCCTTAAATGATTTTTGATTCAATTCTCTATTAAACTGCATCAAAATCTAAGAACAAAATATTTTTCAGATTTTTTTTTCAAATTTTCTGGGGGGTCCCCTTCAAAATTATGAAAAATGCTTGGAAGGACAATACGACTCCCAGCGAAGGCCATATCTTTGCCAATTTTCATTGGGGGTTGGAATGTCTTAATGTAAAACCTTGCAAATTAAAAGAGGATAAATATTTGTTTAACAAAAAATGTATGTACCAAATTGTGAAAATGAAATTGTATTGATTTAAAATTTGGGTCAAATTGTTAAATTTCACTTGATGGGCTTAGCCAAATATTGAATTTTGAATCAAGGTTTCTCTCAGAACTCAATAGCCTCGAGTACGAGTCTCTCGGTGCCCGCTGAACTTTCAATGGATCCATGCACATATTTACCAATGCAAGCCAGACTGTTGGCCTAAAGGGATTGGGGTGAAAATTGGTCAGTTTACAAGACAAATGCTTACTTCCATATACTAACCTTGCAGCGTTTGATCAGCTCGTTTTGGGCATGAGTAATTTGCTCCTTTTTGCCACCCCAAGTACGCAAAATGGATGTTTGCAACGCCCTATCGAAGGCGAAACTCATGGCCCAGGGCTTGCACAAGGGAACATTGTTTATGGCATTCAAATAGACAGTGGCTTCCTCCTCCGATTGGGTACCGGAACAAAAAAGGACACCTGAATTAAAATTAATGTTGATAAAAATTAGAATCAGAATTTAAAATTTTAAAAGTCTCACCAGGTACTGCGGGTGGCACTGTTCTTCGAATGGAGAGTACTGTGGCCATTCCGATGTCCGAAGGCGGATGATTTTTATTACTTTGCAGGCCGGGTGTAACCATACTGGGTTGCAGCAGAGTCCCCTCCAAAAAGACGTGATGTTCGCTTAGGGCCTTGTAAACCGCAGAGAGCAGGATTTCGCTAACCTTCTGACACCGGTCCAGATCGTGGTCTCCGGTGGCTAGGACCTCTGGACTTATAATGGGCACCAAGCGTTGTGACTGGCAAATGGCCGCATAGCGGGCCAGGACATTGGAGTTCTCGAGAATGGCCTGTGGTGATGGGGTATTTTTTGTAATCTTCAGGATACAGCGCCATTTGGCGAAGCTGCAGCCTTCCTTCCTATACTGGGCACACCGATTGGCCAGATCATCAAGTCCTTGGGTGGTAAACTCATCCTCGGAGCCGAAAAGCGGGGTGAAGTGCTTGTCCACCTTAATGCCAGTCAGGATGCCCTTCTTTTTCAGGACCTCCACGAAGGGCACACCGTCATCCGTTCTTTGGTGCAATGTTTCATGGTAGAAAATGACGCCGGAAATATTCTCCGAAATCTTTGGATCGGTGGTAAATAACATTTGTCGGTATATCCTGCGATTTTCCTCAGTGTTCTCCACACCAATGAGTTGTAATCGCTTTCCCATCACCGAACTGGACTCATCAGCTGCCAGGATTCCTTTTCCAGGAGCTACCAAGGCCTTGGATATGCAGGTCAGTTCTTCCTGCAGCTCCTTGTTGGGGTAGTAGAAGTGCGTGGTCATTGTGAGAAACCTTGAATTTGGTTGCGGGACAAAACTTTTGAAAATAGTTTTTTTTAGTTTGGGTTTCAAAATACTAAGTGAAGTAAAATTCCAGGAAAGTGAGAGGTTATTTAAAAAGCCATAAATGAAAAAAACATTGAATATAAAGGATAAGCTCTTGTTCTCCCGTTGGACCATTAACATTTTCTTTGAAACTTTTACAGATGACCTGTTTTTATAAGCCAATTATTCAGAAAATCGGATATCAAGATTGAATACTTTTATTTAGGATACTTGAATACTACCTGAGCATTTAGCACTTGCCGTCCGTCTAATGGCATTATAATTAGACTTTTAATTGCCTCTGCGAAGCAAGGAGGGAGTCCAATACAGCCAGAGATTCGAGGGGAAGATAAACCGCAAGAAGAATAAACTTGCCCCACATTAATTATATTTGACCGCACCGACAATGTCGCTTTTTATGGGTTTCACTTTGGACATTTTATGGCAAAAGTTTTGTTAACACAAATTATGGACAGCAGCGGCCGTTTGTCATAAAAAGAAAACGATACAACGCGGAATAAAAGGTGATGTTAAATTTTTGGACCATTTGCAGAGCGTAAATTGAATCTTCCAATTTCCTTTGGAAATGGCCTGAAAGACCTCGGGAGTGTCTTCGAGACAATTGAACTCGGATCGATTCGAGTAATTCTAATTGGCGTGGGAAACACATTGAGTGCTCCAATAGCTTTAAATGGTTCGCTGGCTAGACAGTTGCCTAATTTTGTGTAAATTATCGCACGAATTATGAGTCTCGTACGTGAAATTCTCCAAAAATAGACAGAGCAGCCGATCAACCACGGAGCTCATTGAAAAATTAAATACGATAAATATCAAACAACACGGGTAGCAACAACAATTGTACAGCAGTTTGGATTGTATGTGTATGTTTTTTTTTGTCGATTCGACACCGTCATCAATATTCAAGTTTAGGTCCCCCAATTAGGCCAGAGGCAAGACGCCGAGTCGAGTCGAGTTGAGTCCGCCGAGCCTAATCGCAAAGCCAATAAATATGATCAACTGCGAAATCCTCAACTGCATCGAACTCTGGGCAGCCAGCCGAGATGTCTTTGCACCTAATTGAGCGTGGAGCAGTTGAGTCAGTCGGTGGCACCACCATGGCAGTGCTGGCAACGGTGGCAACTTGTGGCACCAGCCAGTTTTTTGTTGTCAAAGTGGCTTAAAATTATTAATTGATTATCTATAAACGTTTTAATTGAAAACGCGGACGAAAATTTAGTAAGCTAACGATATTCAAATACTCTTTTTAGGATTTAATCTTTAAGATTATATTCTATACCATTTTAAATTAAATAATTGAAGTATTGATCTGGCACCTGACTTTTTGACTTATTTTTATAGACTTTGTAATGTATTATTTATGTTCATAAAAGGCTATAATGTATCTGACTATTTTTGACAGTGAAGTACGCACTTCATTAAAAATGAATCTAAAAAGTTGAATTGCACAAATATTTAAAGATGAAACAACGTAATGGTTTTTCGTTGTTAAAATAATTAATAAATGAGCGTGGAAAATGTGTGTGTTAAGAATAATTAGTAGTAACTTGCATATTTTTTGTTTATTAATTTTTCATTTCTTTTCTATCTTTGAAATTTTTTTTAGAGAATTAATAGAGAGAATTTAATAGACAGTCACTTGGCTCTGTCTTTTCATTATTAAATTGCCTCTGGTTAGCGTTTAGTCAGTCAAGCGTAATTATTGTTATTACCAAATTAAGTAGCCATTTTTTTCTTCGGCTTTTCGTTTTTTTCAAACTTTATCAGACTTAGGCTACTGTACTGACGACTGTAATCCGCCAACTACTTTTAATGTCTAAGACTGTCTGCCAGTGTCCATACAGTCTCGGTTACTAAAAAGGCAGCGAGTAATTAAAACAGAATTAAAACTCTATTTATACACCATCGAAGTTTTGTGCTAAACATATATAAAATTTTTCAATTTTTGATTTTTTAACTTAAATGCTATTATCTTGCCCCAATTTATACACAACTATGCGTGGGGGACAGTGACGTGGAGTGGGCGGCAGGGATTTACTCACGCTTATCGTGCCAATGTGTTGGTGCAATTTTTTTACGATTTTGGATTTTCAATTTTGAGCACAAAGTCGTTTTGACCAAAACCATACGCAGGCATTATTTTCAAGGAAAATCTCTTCATTTTTAATGCGCCTGGCTGCCACAGCAACGGATCGCATATGTTGCACACACTTCCCCCCGTAAAAAAAAAAACTAACGAAACCCAAAAAAATCAATAAAATAGCAACGACTTAAGCCTGGGATTGGCATCGAAGGAGGGAAGTTGGCCAGAGCTGAATCGACTGAGATTAAATCGAGCGCACATAATCATATTTAGCTTTTTGGCCAAAACGCTCGTGGATGTCAACTGCAGGCCACGGCTGGCTATTGTCGTGGATCGTGCCGCCGTATCCCACTGCAACATGGCCAAAAACAATGGCCAAGCGCCACCATCTATGAATTAATCACGTTCATAATTTCGCTATCGTGTTGCGTTTGCTTGTTGTTCATAATTTCTTGTGTGTTTCTTTTTTGGGCTGATGTTGTGCTTAATTTGGCTAAAAAAGGATATGCTTGTTCGCCATCAGGAGATGTGGAGAGAGTCATCTTTCAAGCCACATATTGTTGCATAATTAGGCATACGGTCTGGGGTGTTTGCTTTGGCATTTCTTGGCGCGAAAAGGCTTGTGTGTGGTCATGTTGTAACAAACCATTGTGTTCGATTTTTGCCTTTGCACCTCCATTGTTCAATATGGAAATTAAGTATCTAAAGAGGGAGGTGATGGCTTCAAAAAAAGATTTATGATTGCGGTTTCCATGATATGGTGGCTGTGTACTTTCTAAACATTATTGCCTGGGTCCTGTTGTGGTTAGATAATCAGTCTATTAGAGTTTTGCCCAAAAGTACCCACAGGAGGTACAAATTTTCTTTTACAAAAAATGTTTTCCATGAAAGCTTTCATTTAATTAAAGCAAATCCTTTAAATGAATCCCTCTATATCTCATAATTTACTCTTTAAAATATTTCTAATACAACCCTGCGATTAAGATTCCATGCACATGATGGGACACGTGCCAAAGCCATATACTCCAATATCTAAATCTTAATACAAATACATACATATATAGGATACACTTGTCTGACACGTCAGACAGCGACGGGAAGAGGCCTATTCGGTGAAATCTTCATTAAATCAACTTCCAGGCGATTGCACAAAGGACTAAAGTTCATCGCCGACATTGTGCGACTTTACGACCCGAAAAAAGTACGTTTTTGTTTTTCGTATTCGGGCATTTTCAGTTTTCATTAAAATTTACGCATTATCGCTTAAGTACTTGGGCGGCGAGGTGACGGAGGTTGCCCAATTTTTACCAATTAACGGCGGCAAAATCTCACGTACATCGGCCATGCCTTTGCCGCGTTTAAAGTCGATGGGGCCGTAATGGGTGGTTTTGCATGAAATGGCCAACTTGGGCGGCAGTTTCAATTTCGCGTCGCATTTTTTTATGGCTCCACGGCCTGTGCAGTGCTTGCCATATCGCGCCCGGCGCATATCAGTCGTTAAAAATGCCTCACATAATTTCCCTTATGTGCGTGTGACATTTAGCGCCGAAAACGGCTGCAGGAGGAGCAGGACGAATGAACCAGGGCCTGGATGGGCGTACCAGAGGTGAGCGCTGAAGGCGGTGCACTCAGCCTCCAATAACAATTATTTTTAAACTGTGCGCTGAACAAGCAAGACGACCAGACAGTGGATGAAAAAGATGTTTTTAATGAAACAAATATACATATATACAAATAATACAAATAATCTACTATCTATTTTTATAAAATGAAATAATTAAATTTTGCTTTGGTATTCCTATATTGGTATTCCTGATATTTTACTGTAGTTGTATAATGATCTCTATTTCCACCCATTGTACCATTAAGTGAAGTCCGTACTGAAATGTTAAATGCTTCACACTCAATAATTTAAAATTTCTTCTCGTCTTAATGCGCTCAAACAAATAAAAGAAAAAGCGAACCATTGGCATACAGTGCGTATGCGTAATGCCATAAGGTATTTTACTAATGTGTGTGTGTGTAAGTGCGGTATGCCAAGCATTTGCGCGGCGATTCTGTGTGAGCCATAACCTTGCCAGTTAGCAGTCACCTGGTTATTGCCATTGGCGTTGGCGTTCAACTTGCCGTTCAAGTCGAGCTCGAGGTGCAAACACTTCAAAAATGTTACTGACTTTTACACATTTACTTTCTTAAATAAATATTATTAAAACATTACGATTAAATTTAAATGTAAAATTTTATTTTCTAATTTAAACCTTTATTTTATTTTTTCTATTTTTTCTTTAAATACCCTTAAGATAAACTGTATCTTATTTCAACCATTTTTTTTCTGTGTCCCTATGTGGATGATGTTGGCGTTGGCGTGGCGCACGTTTTGATTTGCAGTCAATGAATGCGCTCGTAAAGTCGTGTAACACTTTTGCTGCTGCTGGGGTTGTTGTTGTCGTTACCCACACTGCAGTTTTTGGCGCTTTTGGGCATTTGCATTTGCTGGCCTTTTGCTGGGGCGGACCACCCACGCGATTCTGGCGGCGAGTGACTCAAGTTTTTTTCATTCATTCATAAAACGCGAAAAACAACTCGACCAGTGCAGGTGTCGTCGCACCGCCTCATTTGGCATTCAAAGTGCAGCAGCTCGTTTGGCAAAAGTTCAGGCACAAGACGTGCCACGGAATCAATCAGACCGCGATGGTCGTTTATTCAATAGGGCGTTGCAAAGTCCCTGGGTTAATTGCACAAGGAGAGCACTAAGCACGCTGTGTCATATACCCCCGTCTGAATTTCTCGGTTGTTGGCCAAAACGGCTTCTGGGTTACTGGCTGCATGCTTTTATTGCTTGTTAATTGCCCAGCAGAAACACAAACAATAACACGCCCATGCCATGCACCTGCCAGCCTCCATTCATTCGCCCCACTGGGCCACGGCTGTTGTTCGAGTGGCAAATGTAA